GGCGGGTTACAGCATTATAAAATAATATCTGACGGTGATTCCGCCTAAACATTAAGAACATCCTGATAGTAAAAGCTGTTTGACAGTGAAACACACCCCCTTGGAGAGTGGTGATGTCCCCTTCTTTAGAACTTTTTAAACAGAGGCTGGATGGCCATCTATTGGGAATGCTTTGATTGTGAGTTCCTGCATGGCAGAGGGTTTCACTGGGTAACCCACCTGCATGAACCCCCTTCCATAACACTGTATTATTTTAAAGTGTATGGTTTTAAAACACATTTATCTTTTTAAATTGGATTCTATTTTAAATAAATGATCTGTTTTAATACTGTAATAGTTTAATTCCATTTTCATTGTTTCTTTTGTCGGTTTTTAATTGCACTGTGTTTTTTAGACTATAAGCCTCTTTGTGAGTCCCAATTTTGGGGGAAAGGTGAGGTACAAATAATAACAACAGCAACAACATCATCTGAACTAAGGACAATAACCACAGCATCTTGACCAGATGCGAGCCACCGACAATTTTTCTTCTTTCTCTCTCCTGTATATTTTTAACATTTTTGCATGATGAAGAAGCCAGTGGAACTTTGAAAGCTTGCAACATTTATAATGTGCATTTTGGTTGCCCCAAGAGAGGTATCACTGTTCCACGGATTTTGGATGATGCTGTACTTTGCTATACGGCCAACATGGTACCCCCAGATATGTTGTAAGCAAATACAGGTATTCCAAAATCCAAAAAATAAGTAAGAAATAAATCCATAATAAATCCCAAAATCCAAACACTTTTGGTCCCAAGCATTTTGGATAAGGGAGACCCAATCTGTAGTATGTTTTTATAATCTAGAAGTGGAAGAGGACCTTTCAATCTATACTTATGTCTAGTGCAATGCGTGACTGCGTGAATTGGTAAATGTTTTCCAGACACTTTGATCTTACCAAAAGTACTCCTTACCCAAATAACTGGCATTTCCATCATCCTCCTGCAGGACTTGCCACATTATAGTTTTCTGGCCAGGCCGGGACAGACTCCGTTTGATGATCTGTAAAGGCAAGTTGGGTTCCTTCAGATCCATTGGTTCCTGCAAGCGGGCAAAAAGAAGAACCAACCCTTCTGGTTAAGAATTTGTTATGGAAAGAAACCATGTTAAAGCAAAATGGTGCACCCTGAACTGTGACGTTCACAGCAGAGATGGGAAATGTGTGGCTTATGGCCCACATGCAACCCTTTGCGGATTGAATACATCAGGAGCAGGCAATTGTCAGAGGCTAGGAGGCACATTAGCCTATCCACAACACCTTGAAAAGAGCCATACACCCACCCAACCACAAATAATAATAATCTTTTCACCCTCACATATTCTCTAGGAGGCAAGGGGGACATTTTGACTTTGTTTTGGGGTCTCCTAGTCTGTTTAAATGAGAGTCAGCGTGGCATCATGGTTTGAGCATTGGCCTACAACTCTGGAGACCAGGTTTCGAATCCCTGTTTGGTGCCATGGAAACCCACTGGGGTGACCTTGAGCAAATCACACTCTCTCAGCTTCAGAGGAAGGCAATGGCAACCCTCCCCCGAAAGAAACTTGCCAAGAAAACCCTGTGATAGGGTCGGTATAAGTCAAAAGTGACTTGGAGGCACACAACAACAACAACAAAGTCTGTTTTAGGACAAGGCAAGGGCTTTTCTACAATGCAAAGGGACTGGGAACTCGCTTCTTGTTGCTAAAGAGGCCTCTGCTGGACCTACAAAATGACCCCACATCTGCTGAATGGTGTTTGGAGGGATGTGGAGACACTGTTATTTTCCGGCGTATAAGACGACCCCCCATTTTTCCAGTTAAAATATAGAGTTTGGGAAGAGTATGACTTCCAAAACTGTTGTTGTTGTTGCTGTCCACCTTCAAGTCATTTCCAACTGATGATGACACTAAGGCAAACCGGGCATAAGGCAAAACCTTATACCCGGCGTATAAGACGACCCCCCCACTTTAACCACAGATTTTGCAGGTTAAAAAGTAGTCTTATACGCCAGAAAATACAGTAAATTTACTCTCAATTTTTTAAAAACCCTGATCCTCAAGGGCCACAAGATTAGCTCTGGGGATGCATGTGGCCGGCACTTTGCTCACACCTGCATTACATTCTTATGAAGTGCAACGATCCCTTCCAAAAAATCCTTGGCACCCCTCAAAATATCTTTAACAGAATAAAATTGGATTTTTTAAAAAAATTTTTTTGCTGAGAAAACACACTTTGAAGAATGAAAAAACCCAAACAGCTCAAAAGCCAAACTGTAAGACTGTTACTTTCATTTGCCAAAAGGCAGCTATGCAATTCTGGGATTTGAAGTTTTGTCAAGACATTTAGCCTTCTCTGTCTGAGAGCGCAGGTTCCACAACAAACTACAAATCTCAGCATTCTGAGCCATGGCAGTTAAAGCGGTGTCAAACTGCATTATTTCTGCAGTGCAGATGCAGTCTCAGTTTGAAATCTCTCCCAGATGCTTGAACATGAGCACAAGCCACAGAGCTGGGCCTGAACATAGCCTAACCTTGCACATCACAACCTGATTCACCAGAATGCCACATACCTCTTTCACAACAGTGTGATCCCTTTCTTGTCCTTCAGAAGGAAGCAATGAAGAGTGGCAACTTGAGTCTTGGATTCCAATGTCTACAAAGAAGAAAGGGAGAAGGATTTTAGAAGGGGAATCGCTCCATCCTTAAAGTGACTGTTTCTAGTCTTTCCAATTTGAGAAGTCATCTTTCAGTTTAAAAGAAATACCCCAAAGGTTTTTAACACATGTTAAAATATATTTTAAGAAAATCACAAGAAATACAGTGGGCCCTTGGTATCCACTGGAGTTTGGTTCCAGAACACTCTGTGGATACCAAAATCCATGGATGCTCAAGTCCCATTATATACAATGACACACTAAAATGGTGTCCCTTGTATAAAATAGCAAAGTAAAGGTTTGCTTTTTGGATTTTTAAAATATATATATATATTTTCAAGCTGTGGATGGTTCAGTCTGTGGATGCAGAACTTGTGGAAATGGCAGGCCAACTGTAAATACAGGTCAAGTGCCCTTGGTCTGAAATGCTTGGGACCAGAAGTGCTTTGGATTGTGGAGTTTTTCAGATTTTGGAATATCTACATATACATAATGAGATATCTTGGCGATGGAGCCCAACTCTAAATGTGAAATTCATTTATCTTTTGTATACCCTTAGTACACATAGCCTGAAGGTAATTTTATATGCAATTATTTTTTAAAATAATTTTCTGCATGAAACAAAATTTGTGTACACTGAATTATCAGAAAGCAAAGGTGTCACTATCTCAGCCACCCATGTGGACAATTATAGAATATTTTGGATTTCGGAATTCTGGATAAGGGAGACTCGATAAGAATACTGCAACAAAGTAAAAACAGGAGGAAAATCACCTTTTAAAACCTCAGCCTTTAACATCATTAAAGGAAGGATACAATCTACTCCTTACAAAAGTACTTTCATTTGGATTCCTGATTTCCTACCAATGAGCAACGTGAGTCCTTACCCAGCGGACTGATCTCTGCTTCAGTGTTTTGCTGGGTTTCTTCATAGATCTCTCCCTTTGCAGCAGTCAAAGGCTCTCCTTCTTCATCCAGGGAACCCAAACACTCTTCCTTCATGGGCTTCTGAAACTCCTAGAAAGGAATCCAATTCAGAATGGAGAGAAGTAGCTGGTACAGAAATAACTCTGGACCAAAGACACTTTCTGTTCCCCAACCCTATTCTGTTGCAAGTAGAAGTTGAGTCTCCCTTAGCCAAAATGCTTGGGACAAGAAGTGTTTTGGATTTCGGATTTCTTCTTTTTCGATTTTGGGATACTTGCATCTGCATATACGTACATAATGAGATATCCTGGAGATGGGACCGAAGGCTAAACACAAAATTAATTTATGTTTCATATATACTTTATACAAATTTGTTGTTGTTGTTGTTGTCGTGTGCCTTCAAGTCGTTTTTGATTTATGGCAACCCTAAGGGGTTATCTTGATAAGATTTGTTCAAAGGAGGTTTGCCATTGGAAGCTGAGAAGGTTTTCATGGTCCAGGGGGATTTGAATATAGCCTGAAGATAATTTTACACATAATGTTCTTAATAATTTTGTGCATGAAACAAAATTTGTGTACACTGAACCACCAGAAAGCAAAGGTGTCAATCTCTTATGCAAGCTGTGAAAAAAGATTTGGTTTTTGGATTATTTTGGACTTTGGAATTCCAAATAAGGGAGACTCAACTTTTACATTTGTTTTTTCATTTATTTTATTTAGAACCTGTTTTTCATCCCATATGGGAACCACAATTAGATTAAAACCCAATCAGATAAAATAATAGATTGTACCAAACGTTTTTCAGTAAATTAAAATAATACAATTTTGAGATTATAAAATTTAGCAAATTCCTCCCCACACCTAAAGTTTTCAGCAATTTCTGGGTTCTCAGGAAAAGCCAGACTGGGTCTTTATGGGAGTGGCAATCCAGAAATA